TTCGAATGACCCTCATGAAATGCGAATCGCTGCACAGTTGGAAAATTTGTGTTAAATTTAACACATGTTAAAAACGATCCGTTTAAATTTTAGTGTTTATTTAATACAAGAGGAATACAAGAGGAATATTAGAAAGCAACATAAATATTATTTAAAAAATTAATACAGAAACGTAAGACAGACACAATTTTTGTAAGCAATTATATTTCTTCATTATAATTAATATTTATAACATATTAATGTTAAATTAACACATTTATCTTAGAATTTATGTTTAAAAAATATTATTTCTATGTTGTTTGTTTACTTATTCATAATGCATGTTGTTTTAACAGCAAGAAATATTGAATAATAATTTAATACAAAATATTTCAATAATACAATTACATTATATTGAATTAACACTTCGATGTGTTAAAAATTCAACACAAAATTTTAACAAGTACTTAAGTAAACCGTTTCTAATATAAATACTAAAATGTTTTTTACTTTGTAGATTATTTGGAGCTTACAGATAAAGAGCGTTTTCCGGCAAGGATACAGTGTAATATTTATTACATCCTTATTGTTTACCAATATTGAAGAAGGATGAAATGATTCATTGAAATTATATTGTATAATTTCTTACTGAAAAATATCCAAAATTTCAATTAATTTTAATCAATTTTTAATCGAATTTGAAATATAAAATTTTTTTCGCGCATCGAAAAATGTAAAAGTTAATTACTAATCAAAGATTATTGCTAAGAAAAAAGATTTTATTAATATACGAATATCACCTTAAAAGAATCGCGATAACTATGAGCTCGAATCGCCCGATTTACTTTAAACGTGGTGCTAATTACTTAAATTATACCGCGGTTCTCAATATGAAATCTTTTTCGCGCGCTATGAAAAATGTGAAGATAATTAATTGTTTTAATAATCGAGAAAAAAGAAGGAAAACGTTTGTGGGAATTACGATATGATTTGTTATTATATCAAAACAAAATAGCTGCTTATAAACACGTAATAAAATTATTATCCGCTTCATCGCGCATCTTCGTAATTTATGATAACGAAGTGTGTCGCCACTTCCGATTAATTTGAAGTGTGCAACTAACTTCAAGCGAGACGCCAGTTTCGATAAGTTTCTAACGGTTCGCGTCGTACGAAATTTTTCTCCCGCGTCGCGATCGCAAATATTATCGACAGTCAGGAAAGAGAGAACAAAATCTATACGGAAATCAAGGACTGATTTGAGATCTTCGTTTGTCAGCGACTGCTAATGGGTACGTGACGAAATTATTGTTTTTTTCGTAGTCACGCATTTTTTCAACCGGCGATCGGAATTCGGGAGCACCGCTGCCATTTGCAATACCCAGACAACACAGAATATTTATGATAAATATTTATTAATATTCATTTTTTGAAATGTTATATAGATATTTCATACATATTTTATATAAAGCTTTATTCGAAATATTATTAAAATATAGACTAAATATTTTATGCAATATTTATGATAAATATAAATATTTCTAATAAGTATTTTTTACTTGGATTATAATGTCTTATTAAGTATTTTCATAGCATTTACTATAACATTCATAATAAATATTTCATAATATTTATAAATGTTTATGATCTGTGCAATCTAAGACCACAAAAACATTTACAAAATATTTAAAATAAATCATAAATATTTTGTAAATATTGTGTGCTGTCTGGGTAAAGTCACTAGGGCTTTTAATGGTATGAAATTTTTCGTGAGATATGAAAATGATCAATTATTGAGCAAGAAAGAGGATGTATATGAAAAGAATAGAGAAATTATTCATATTTTCATATAATACAGTTTTCCGAGGGACGCCCTGGTAAAAATTTTTCTCATAATTTTTATACGAATTGTAATATTTTTCAGAAATACTCAGAAATATTCGGAAAGTTTACATCTTCTCTCAGAATTTCTCATACAAGCGAATTCTGAAATTTCTCATTCCATAATTTTTAAAAAATATTTTTTAATTTTTTAGATTTTATAATATTTCATCAGAAATTATATTTACAAAAACTTTTAGAAATCTTACGATATTTCATAAGTTTTGGACATACATGTTTAGATAGGATCGAGTAT